CTCCAGCATCACCTCCCGCTCTGAGCAGGATGCTCAGGTCTGGGGTGGCACAGCCTCAGGAATGGGCAGTTGGCAATGCCTATATTGGGAGGCTGCACAGAGAGCTTGTGGTATGGAACGTCCTCTGAGCAGCACTGCAAAGCTCAAACTCAGCAGCAGGACTGCGTACAGAAGGCAGGCAGGTGCTTTACCACACATTTCTTTCCATTTCCCACCCCAAATCAGTACAAAAGTATGATGTATTATGAGGCAAAAACTGTCCTTGGCTAAGAAGGAAAATTAAAAGTATTTCCTTAATAAGAAAAAAAATAACTTTAAGTAATAACAGTAAATTATTGAAAAAAATTACTGCTAACATTCTGGGAGAGGATAGAAAAAGAACAAGAACAGGACTGAAATACCAGAGCATGAATGGGTTTTTATAACGCCCCATTTTTCCACACGAGCTCTGCGAGATCACATAAAATTGGACATTTAGTAGAAGTTGGACTGAATTAAAAAAATTAAAGAATAAGGTAATAAGAACAGCTACATTTACATAATGTGAAGTTCACAAATGTGGTCAGCTGTGCTGCACTGAAGCCATGTGAGAGCTCCAACTAAATCTGACCAGCAGCAGTAGAAAGTCACTACACATCCCAGCCAGAAAAACTGAGCATCTCATTAAAGGCAGTAATGATACAGCTGGATAAACAGAGTATGCCAGAACCAGAGCAGATAAGGAATGAGTTTGGGAAACAGCATGGCTGCCCTTCCTCTAACAGGGCTGAGCTGATGCTGTGCTTTAGGATTGCTGATCTCACAGAAAACAGCAAGAGGGAAGAAGTGGCAGAGGGGAAGAATATTACTAAATCCCGGAAATGGAAATGCATGGCACTAAATAGAAGAGCTGTTTTTTTTCCTAGGATATGCTCACTGCTAGAGAAGTAAATTGTTCCTGTGTTTGAAGAGAAAGGGAAGAGGTAAGAGAAGACAATCTGTGCTGAGCGGTGAATGTGCAGCCTTTGCTGGCCAAAAACAATGAGAGAAAAAATAAGTGAACAGACTGAGTGGGTGTAAGAACTCAAAAGGAAAGAAAAATGAATAGAGTGGAAATAAAGGAACTGCTGCCATGGAAGAGCAAAGTATAGTCCAAATCACTGAGCAAAAATGATAATAGCAGCATTATGTGAGGCATTTATTCAGATAGGAACATTCCAAGGGCAACTGCTCATTTTGGACATCTGTGGGACAATTGTCATTACAAGCACAGACGTCTCTCTGGTTTTCAGTTACTGGAGTGCTTTTGGGGAAGAGAAACCTCTTCTCTTTGGCAAGGAGCAAAATCATTTTCTCCTGATGTGTTTTGTTACAGAATCAAAATCTCCAAGCAATTCTATGACAACAAGAAAACAAAAAAGCGGTAAAAATATGTTTAAAAAGCAAATAAATAAAAAACCATGAAGTCTCAAGCAAAGCCTTGTTCAATGAGAGAACAAAACTGCTTCATAATGGTGAAGACAGACCAGGGAGGAGTTTAGCAGCTCGGTGCAGGAGGGATATTTCCCCAGAGACCTCTGGATGTAGGACTTCTGCTTTGCACTCCCCTTTGGGTTTCAACTCCTAAGGAAGGTTTCCTACCTACTTATGGACTGTTTGTCAATCGACCAAAAGGGGAACGTAGGTATTTTTCTGCCTCTTTCAACTCCTGGATCTCACCAGCCTCCCCCAGCAGACCCAGCTCCAAGTCTGCAGTCTGGGTGCTGCTACCCTCAGGGAAACCTTTCAAAACCACAACATTGATGCAATCCACCTCTGTGTGCTGAGGGAGAAAAAAAAGCACAGTGCTTCTAGTCACACCATGAAGAATATGCTGAAAGACCTCAATCATTCCCCAACATACCAACACAGGAAAGAAACAGAGCTCTTTCCTGTCAGCTTTGTTATCAGCCTACTATGGACAATCTGAGGTCACAGCCCTAAAAAGGGAGCGGAGGTTCTTTTTACCTGTTGCACCCCTGACAGCCCTCCCGTTTGTCGCTGATAACTGGGCAAACCAGCAGAGCACACAGATGCTGCTGTGTGCTTCTGGGCAGGGCTTTCAATCCTAATTGAAGAAGCCAACTGGGACAAAAAAACACGAGGAAGCCCACTCAGCAGCCTAATTAGATTGAAATAAGTAAACTGTTTACTCGAGAGAAAACAAACAGCGTATGCCCATGATATATACCTAACATCTAGGTGAAACAATACATCGTGCACCTTTCAGATGGTTCTCCAGTCACAAAACTTACACTGCATTTACAACGCTACTGTGCATATCTGTAGATTAACAGCTTAATATAAATCTACTGATATAAAGAAGTGGTTCAGTCTCCTGTTTGTAAATCAAGAATGACAAAGAAATGAAAGGATACACAGATGGTTACCCCAGGAGCCACATATCAGAAAGAAGAGCCGAAACCAAATATTCCTCAGTCCTACTCTGCCTGTTTATTCTCCCTTAAGGTAAACTCTTTTTCTCCTACATTTTATCTCTGCAGACAGTCATGAAAAGTACTTTATTACTCATGATGGAAGTGGAGAGAGTTTGTTTCTTTCTCTGCTTCCATAAAGCTTTTATTTTGCTGGAAAGCAGATTTAAGGAATGCCCCATTGCAAGAGTTTAAGGGTTACTTTAAACTGGGACACAAAACTACAACTTCTGACATCATTTCACGGCCTGTTCAGGAAAGCATTCAAGCGGGACATTGTACCATTAGGTATAATACAGCCATTCCAGAGGCACTGATTACTGCAATGAGAACTCATCTTCTTTAGCAGTATATGCGATAAGGAATGAATAAAAACCCAGGCCAGAAACATCACTGTAAAAAGGCAGGCTATGTACGAGAATGGAAAAAAAAAATATAGGTGTCTTTTGGGGAACTGGAAAAGAAAAACCTGCAGTGCCAAGTGGGATTTGGGGGATGCTGAGCATCCCTGGAAATGAACATCTGTATTTCCCCCCATCCAGTCCCAATCCTTGGGGTTTAAGGTCCCTTCCAACCGTAACCACTGTATGACTCTATGACCCAAAGACAAGTCCTTAGAGCAAACAAGACTTTGCAACGTTGAGCAAAGCAGAGTCTGGACAAGTCTTGAATTCTGGGGCTGGTGTCTCAGGACTTCCTCCAAAGCACAAGAACTCTACGGTGTTCCTATCTACAAAAGGTATCGCAAAGATAAATTAAGTCTCTTTATAAAAAGCTGCTTTAAATGGGCCCCTCTTTCATAAGTAGACTCTTCTACCATCACGCACTTGCAAGTATTAGTAAATGAGCGCTTCTGATGGATAGCCGTGCACACAGTCAAACTCCTCAGGGCCTCAAGTGCCCATTGAGCTGAAGATAAAAGAATTATTTTCATATTTGATCACATAAATGTCACTGGAGATATTTGCAACAGCCCACTCTAATCTTTCTGTAGGTAGACGGAGGCATATTCGACAATCAGTTTTCAAGATATACTCCAGTGAGACCCTTATATGACCTCTCATTAGAAGTAAAATAATTTACGACTCCTTCCACTCCCTGGCATTATATCACACTCCTCCCAGTACCGCAGCCTCACTTGATTTGTGACAGGAGGTACACAGCCCACAAGTTATTAACAGAAAAAGATAAAAGACTCCATCCCAACAGCACTTCAGTGCAATAATGATAATGAAATTTACTATCGTACCTGTCCAACAACAGCAGATGATTGCATCCTACTGGTAAACCAGAACCGTCTTTAACATCAGCACAGCTGAATTCCTACTGGACTCAGGTCTCCTGACACACAAAGGGAGAGGCAACAAAGCAGAAGCACAAAGCTTCTCTGCCCCTTGACATTCCTGTTTGTGTACCTCCTCCTGCACGTGGTCTCCATGTGCTTTCTTAGCAACTTCATTGCTTTCCAAGATCAGAAGAGCAGATCCACGAAGGCCAAAGCAAGGCTTCAATCTTAGATAGAAATTTCTGGTTTGTTATTTGCAGGAGCCCATATTGCTATGATCTAAATCTCAGCAGTGAGCTATCTACTTTTTCCCTCTGCATTACATACATAATTATTTGGCTATAAAGTTGATCCAAAGATCAACTAGATCAAAGATCCGGAAAAAAAAGTCACAAAACAGCAAACATTTGTGAACAGCTGCATATAAGCCTTGCTTCAGAGCCCTTTTCTTTTTGTGCAAACACCCAGCCTCAGAAAGCCATTTGAAGTGCTCCACTTCTGGGCACAGACATTTTTGCAACCAACCGATCTGCCACTTCTTTTCTGCAGGAATACATCTCCAACACTTTATCATTTATTTGCCTGTCACTGTTCTTCAACTCCGATGGTGTGTTTCCTGCTTCTCTAACTTCATCTCAACAACTTTTCTCCTTTGCCTGTGTCATTTGCCTACATGGGCTGCACTGCAATTATCAGCTGTGGTGCTTTTGGGGGAAACATCGACCCCACAGAGATGACAGATCCCTAGATGTTCCCAGCATGACCACACTACCACATGTCAGACTCTCATTGCCAGGGCTTGGAGAGCAGTCAGTGAACGATACTGCTCAGCACGTAGAGATTCAGCTTCCACATTCAGTATTAGGAGACAATTATTTTTTTTCCCTTCGCTTGTGCAACAAATATTTGTTAATACTGTATACATTTTTCATAATGCCTTAGTCCTTGTCAAATCCTTAGCCAATGAATCAGCTTTAAAAGGTTATTACACTGGAAGCTGTAAGTACTGAGTATAATATAACTTGCAGCGCACTCAAAGCATGCACCAATGTTAATTATTGATTAGATCACAGTTTGATTACATTTTGGGTGACGACACCCAGGGGTTTAGATAACTGCATAAAACATTGTGTTCTGTTCTACAGAGACCCAGAATAAATCATCCTTTAGAAATAAAGCACATTATTCAGTCATTTTTCAGGATTACAGTAGGATGAGTGATGGAAGTTATACAGAAGTATTCATTTTTAATGATGTCCTACCTTTGAAGAAACAGTCCTTGCTGTGGATAATGTAGATTTTCTTCCTCTGAAGACATGAGGCTCGATGTAACTGACAGTGATTTTCATAAAATTTGCCATCAGATCCACATACTGGCATGTAGCTGGACTTGCAGTCTTCTACACACCTGCACTCAGGCTGGTTGGTGTCCCTGTTCACCACACACCTACTCCCTCGGCCGCAGTACTTCTTCTCACATGATGCATGCAGGCCATCCTGACCATAAAGAACTGGACAGAGAGAGAGAAAAAAAAAAATCAGCATTAGCAATATTTACCTAACAGACCATCCTTGTCTGCTGCACAGCAGTGCACAGCCATTACAAGTGCAGAAGCTAAAAGGTTCCCAAGGCTAAAAGCACACTGTGACAGCAGCACGATGGCAATCTGCAGAGCATCTCCACTTCTGTGCTCCCAGACCTTCAGCTCTGAGTCATCAACATCTCAAGTATGTGCAGAAAGTGCTTCCCTGAGAAGTGGCAGACGTGGGGCCTTTCATTCTTCCAGGCTTTTGCAAAATTAGACCCTACAATAGGAACTAGTGAGAGTATTCCAGTGCCAAAAATTTGGGCATGACTTGGACTCAAGAAGCCATTCTGAAAGCCTACGCTCTGGCAGACTTACTGCATATAATGCTCTGAAAGTTACTGCAACTGTCTGCTGTTTGATACCATTAAAAGGCAAACTGAGCTGCCCCACTGCTGTAACATTTTCTGCTTCTGAAGTCAGAAGGCTTGCAAGAGAACATCATTATAATTCATACAGGACAGGATACTCCCAAACAAGCCGCTACTCAGAGCAATAATTAGCATTATACTCAGCAAAGAGAGTTGCAGGGAATTAGATTACTCTATGCTAATTGGAGCACACAAAGCAGCAAATTGTAAAGGGAAGCTGCAAAAGGCATAATTAAAGGAGGAATAAACATTTAGCAGCGTACAACCTGCTGCCTGCTCTGCACAGCCTCCCGACAGCAGCCACCCCTGTGCTGTGACTCGATCTGGATCAGCAGGTATGAAGCAAACCCCAGCTGTCCATATTCACCACGTGTAGGATTGGCTCTCGGTGAGTTTTTGGTGCGTCCCAACCTCTCACCCCAGAACCTCCATCACACATAATGGAGATGTGAGGAGCATCAGCAATAGCTGCTTCAACTTACTGGTCCTATTTTTTTTAATGCTAAATTCCTTGCTAACAACCACACAGTCCCTGCTTGCCCAACCACTTCAAGCCACATGAAACATCCCATGTTGAGTCCACTTTTCCATCAAGCAATAAGGGATTAAAGCATGTTCATAAAGATGAGTAAAAGTCCCCACAAATCCCATTTGGTTTGGTCCCCGTTAAGTCTTTGTTTTATCTGAAAGGGGGGAAAATATCTGCTGCTGCTGGAGGATTAACTATTTGACTCAATAACTCATTAAAATTCTTCCAACCTTGGCAAGCTAGGTAATATTGACTTTTCCTGACTCATAATAAACTAGAAGGTCAGAGCGTCCCTGAGCAGTGCAAAAAATACAGTCCCTGGAAAGCATATCTAAATATTCTTTATTTATTTACTAATTGTCCCAGGGTTTCTGAAAAACATCCTCAAGAATACACACTTTGTGACCTCCAGCTGAGCTCATTGCCGAGGGCACCAGCACTCAGCCCTGCTGCCTTTTGGAGCAGCACAGAGGCTCAGGTCAGCTCCTAGAGCATCACTGAACCACTAAGGCTCAATAAGGTTCAAAACATGCATTGGGCACAGTGACCACCGTGATACTTACAACCAAGATTCTGGTGTTACTGCCTACATACACATAACTGGGATACAACTACAGCACAGCCCCCCCCCTATGCTGATAGCTGCAATTCCCCCTCGACCCAGCACCAGCTGAGCACCACACAATGCACCTCACCAGAGGTTATCGCCCCCCCTGCTGACCACATCCAGCCCCAATGGCCATCACACACAGCAGCAGCACAAAGTCCTCTTGAAGCCTCAAGTATCATGATTTTTAATATTAACTTGGCATTGCTGAAAGCAAAAGCAATTCCTATTGCAAAGACAACGTTGTTTTATTTTTTCCTTTTTTAAACAACACAGCAAAGATTTGTTTACCACCAGCTTATACAGCAAAGCACTCTGGCTTTTCTATCACCACCTGGTTACTATGGAGAAGCCTCATAAAGCCTGTGTGCTTTCATGTCTTGCTCCTTTTGTTCAGTTTGGTTTATTCTGTGTTCCCAGATGAAGAACTCCTGTTCGAACACTCAGAAAGGGAGGTGGGCTGGACAGCCCACAAACAGCATGGAAAGCAAGAGCTGTGTAATCAGTAATCCAGACACCCAAATCCACCGATAGCAGCACACAAGCAAGCAGAGTGTTAATATAGGATTTCTTTGCCAGAATCTGATAACGCTGCTCATAGCCCCTTAATTGAATTACTCCCTGAATATTCCTTGGAGGAACTAAAGGTCCCCACACGCACACTCAGCCATGCAGACAGGCCCTGCGCTAGGAAGAGTAAGGAACACAGGACACAGAACAGTGGTGGAAAGCCAGAGGATGGAAGGTTTCCAACTGTAAAAGCTCTGCTGTCTTTACCCAGGTAAGCAATCAACTCCCCGCAGCACCGACACCAGGACCAAACAGGCAGGGCAGCAGCGAAAGCCATCGTTAGCTGTGCTGTGTTATTAGAAGTGACTGCATTCCTCACTCTTACAAGGATTATTAAAAACAGGAAAGGTAATCAAGTGAAACCACCAAGTACGTACATGTGGTACACATGAGCCTCACTGCACAATACATTCAATTTATTAGTTACAAAGAAAGTCATACACTTAGGTTAAAGATTGGTCGTCTTGCCAAACAAGCCACTTTTCAATGCTAATTAAGTTTACCCAACATAGCTAGTGATTGATTTGTGGTGTTATAGTCAAGTCAGGTTGCTGGAGAGAGGAAGCCCATTTGTGTACATCCGCAAATCCCCATCACTTCCTCAAATCAGCTTCTGCTGCCCACGAGAAATTTGGCATTCCACTCAAAAGCCAACAAAGCTGGGGTACAGGCGGTACAATAACCGAGTTTGGGAACTGGGGAAGGTGCTAATGGCTGCCTCAAGCAAGACTTAAGGAAATGAAGATGCTATTGCTCTGTTTAGACACTGTAGGATACACGTCCTTTGGCTGCTCGTTAATTTATAATGACTTGGGCAACAGCTGCTATTACATGTCACTAAACATGTTACAGATCAGACTGGAGCTATCAGGCAATTCATTATTTTCAACATCCAAATCCAACCCTAGTCCTTACCTGGGCAAATCTCCCGAAGAGTTCAAGGAAAGGCTGGGCTGGTGACAAGCACTGATTTCACTTAAGACCAAGCAGAAAAACCCATCACACACAGAGCAAAGCCAAAAACCAAACAGCTCCATCATGTTACTGCTCATGGAAGGTTGCTTACATGCTGCAGAAATGCAAATTACTACATTTACATTTAAGAAGCCAGTTTGTTTTCAAGGAACAGCACACCGCTGCAGGCAGCTGGACACCCCAGTTCATCTGTGAAGGAAAGAGCTGAGGCTTTACATCAGCCAGAACTGGAAGCTTTAATTATGAGGAACCAGAGATGGGTGTAACTACAACTGGAAGCTCTCACTCCAACTGCTTCCAAGGCAGATTGTTGTAAAGCAATAAAATAAAATCTTCTATAGATGTAAAAACACTCAGTTTCCAAACTTCATTTGTTGCTTCCAAGAAGGAGCGCAGTGAGCTCACAGGTCAGCAGCCACTCCTCCCCACCTTGACACTGAGTTCCAGCATTTTCCTTTGCTACCATGCTGAGGTCTGAAGCAGTGCACCTGCAAGCACTTTTTCCTGCTGTGAAGTATACCTGCTGGTACATGCAGATGTCCATTTGCCAGCTGAATACGTAGCCACACGTACTTGAGCATTACTCTGCTGCCTGTTCACAAACACAGATCCACGCACACGTAAAAGTGATCTGCCAAACTTCACTCTTTGCTGGCAACAGGGCATCCAATGCAGCAGCACGAGGCCCCAGAGCTTCCCTTCCCAGCACATCTTCAACACATGCCTTGAAGTAACAGAAGTTCAGATGCGTGACTATTGGACCTGGCTGCTGCTGTGAGCAAATGCCAGTGCTGCACACATTGTTACTACTGCAATAAAATAAGAAAGGAAACAAAGCAAGAATTTCATAATTAACTGCTCTGAGTTTCTCTGTTTTTCACTGTACTCCTGTTATGGAAGTGGCGAAGCAGAGAAGTTGCAGTGAAGCTCCTGGTGCAGGGAATGGCAGCAGCACAGCCATGAGCTCCGTTACTTGCCCTTGGTGCTGTAACTTATTTATTCTTACAAAGCAAAACCAGCAACTTGTCCTGGAGGAAAACACAGAAAATGAGATGTCTTCAAGTCCGTGTTTTTCTAAGGATGCAAACTATTTGGTTTCCAGGCTCAGGAGATAACTGGGGTGAAACATCTTGGAACAGAAGGGGAAGGATGCATCAGCCTCTGCTGAGGAGCAAATCAGTCACACACTAATTTGGATGTTCTACAGGGAGCGAAACACGGGATGACACACAAACCCTCCTGCAAACAAAAATTACCAAAACTTCTCATTATTTCAGGTTTCCTACTGAGAATTCTTGCAGAGTTTTAAAAAAAAAAAAAAAAAAAAAGATAAGCACCTAAAGGAAAGGGAAATTGCATGCAGGAGTCCCATGGGCAGTAGTTATGGGGCTGACACCAACACTGAGGGTCTGCGCCTGCCATTTAATACCAAAGACACTGCTCCATGTTCAGCAACGACGTGCAGTTATTCTGCAAACAACAGCATGAAACATTCAAAATCATAGAATTGCTTTCTCTATCAACGGTTAGACCTGAAAATCGGGATCAATGTCATCCCAGTGTAATGAGACTTATTTTTGCTCACTTTCAAATCCTTTTAACCACGGTGACACCAAGAGCTCAATTAAACTACATTTTTGGGTGGCACTTTGGTTTATGAAGGTATAACATGAAAAACAGCCAGAAGAAATCAAAAGATCTAGAGCAATGTGAAGTATTTGCACAGATTACTGAGGAAGAAACACGGACTGAAACGAGACCATATATATTTAGGCCCTTGCCATGAGACTCTACCACGCACAATTTGCCTGATAGTTCTGCTATTGAAAGCGCTAAGAAGGCGATTCATAAAATTGCTCTTTACTCAATGTTT